GATCCAAAGCAAAATAATGGGACCATGAAACTCAAGGTGCAAATCCACAGCAATGAGTGAAAGGAAAGGACAGAATTCCCACTTCTCCCTGTTGTTCCGCCTTCCTGGCTTCGCTGCTGGCCCTGCCGACTCTGAGTGTATGAGCAGCACTGTGGACTCATCCTTTTGCTGTCTTTGCTACAAAATGGTTAAAAGTGCAACCGATGCTGCCATTACCTATGGCTTGATGTATTCACGTCTATGAAATTATTTCTCTAAGGGTTTTATTTGTACCCTTATTCACCCCTGTCTTTTTGGAATGCTTATTCTAGGACAGTGGTTTCTTTCAAAAATCTCTTATCAAAAATACAACACATAAGTGCCTAGATTTTACCAAACAGTCACAAAATCATGAATGCTCATATGCTATGAGAGTAGAAATGAAAACGTTCTAGGGAGCTAAGGGAACTACTGTCTGAAAACGGAGAAAGGGGAGATATGAGGGGGGATAAACTCAAAGTACATTATATACTTGCATGAATATGTCCTTAGGTAATCTAGCACCATGCACATCGAATATATGCCCCTCACCCTTCCCCCTGCCAAAAACCTAGCACTTGTAAAGCTCTAAGTGCAGGTTGATTTAATGTGAACTTAGATTTATTTTTAAAAAATTGTTAGTTACAGAGCTGGAAAGATGGCTCAGCGGTTAAGAACACTGACTGTTCTTGCAGAAGACCAGGGTTCAAATCCCAGCACCCACATGGCAGCTAACAACTGTCCCTAACTCCAGTTCCAGGGGATCTGACAGCGTCTTCTGTCCTCCGCAGGCATCACACGACACAGGTGCACTTACCTACATGCAGGCATAACCCTCATACAGATTTAAAAAAAAAATGTTAGTTTGGACTCTTACATTTTTACTCATGAGTCATCTAAGTGCTATGTTCTCCTGAGTCCTTGACTTCAGGCAGCAGTAACTCACCCAGATCCCTCTGTACATAACCTGCCCAAGCCTTTGGAAGCCTCTGGAAGTTTTGTTAGACTCTTCTTTTCCATTTAATTCAGTAGGACAGTAACAGTGTTAGTGCTGTGTGCAAAATATTCCCAATTCTGTTCTGTAACTAAAATTATATTAACCAGAAAATTAGACAGATTCCCACTATATACATGTCTGGAGTGAAAGGTGGATATCTGTGTCTGTTTGAGTAATCTATTTACTCAACCATTAACCTGTTTGAAGCCAGAAATATAGCAAATACATCTATCGGCTCAACTAAAACCAATTCAACTATACTTGACTGAATGATGAGATGTTTTACTGGCCAAATTCTGTTGCTGCTTACTGGAGTTCTAGTGAAACAGCTACCCAAGACTACAGAAGCTAATTTAAGATGACCATGGCCTTTTTAAAAAGTCATTAAATTCACATCAACATAGAAACATTCAGGTTTACATACAAAAGAGCTAAGGTCCCTCCCTCTAAACAGCAATGCCGTAATATGGTGATCAAATCTATCAGTAGGCACATTGACCAACCTCAGAAACATGAACAGGGGGAGCCACAGAAACAAAACATCCTGGGTCACTTCGTCTGTTTCTGGGTGAAGAAAAGGGCTTCACAGACAGACTTGGAGGACAGGATCCCAGAGTCAGGCACATTCTGAGGCACAATTTCAAAGAAAACTGATTCCCACATGACATCAAAGTGACATTCTCTCTCAGTTTGGATGCCACGTTTCAAGCACCCCTCTTATTTTTGTTTCTATCCTTTTGATTTCTAATTTGAAGTCTTCAGAAGCAACATCATAGACAAGAAAATTAAAAGAGACTTAAGTATATTCTCAGCATGACAAATGGAAGAGGTTTTGACCTGTGCCATTTCTGCACTGTCCTATGCTGGTACCATCATTCACCATCACAGGATGTCACAGTAATGTCCAACCTAATTTAAGATGGACTTCTACTGCTATTCAATAGAAAATCTTGAACATTTTGTCTATTATTATAAGCTATCTTTTCTTTTATCAAGAGTAATATAATTAAGAGTAATGTAATTACCAATTCCCTCTTTCTAATTAAGGATTAACTTTTTCTCAATTCAGAGAATTTTTTTCTCTATTTGACGTTTTCAGAAGGGAGACTGTAATTAAAAATGGTAAAAAAATTACTCTCAAAAGTAAGCAGGAATAAGGCAAAATTCTAGCTATATACTGTGTTGTAGATTTTCCAAAGTAGAATCACTCAATTTTTAGCCCAATATTGCATATTATATTAGATAACAAAGAAGGAAATCATTTATTTCAAGTACAAGTCCCAGTAAAATCTTATTCTAGAGAAAATCGATGTAAACAGGTTCATATTTTATGTAAAGGGTACTACTTGAATTTACATAAGGTCAAAAGAAATATGTATGTATATAAATATGCTTGCATTTTATACTGTATGTCATACCATATGCACATATTTTGACTACATGTGGATAATATTACACTTCACTACGTTAAAAGCTTATACTGGGGCTGGAGAGATGGCTCAGCAGTTAAAAGTCTTACTGCTCTTGCAGAGAAACCAGGTTCAGTTCCCAGCACCCACATCAGAAAGCTCAAAACTGCCTATAACTCTAGTTCCAGGAAGTCTGAGGCCATCCATCTTCCATGAACACCTGCACACACATGATGCACATAAACTCATGCACGCACACACACATACACATTAATAGAAAACCCATTTTTTAAATTCTATATTATCTTGTTAATCAATGTATGCATGATATTCTTGTAATAAAAAGCAGCCAAATACCTTTAATCTACCACCAGTTAATAAGCTTTATGTTGATAAGCTCTACCAGACCCTGGGTGGTAAATGGTCCTCCTGTGGCTCTGAGCAGGGCTGACCACCCACCATTTAGTTTATACTCACAGCTTCTCTTGAGATAAAAGTTTTCTGACCATCTCACTTAAAACCACCATCTATAACCAAACTTAGTGGTACTCAGAGTCCCAAGTACTGAGGCGATGAAGCAGAAGCACTGCTTGAGTCCAGAAGTTGGCAGCCAGCCTGGGCAACATAGAAAGACCAACCCTTAAGAATGGACCTCTTCAAACTCCACAGAGTTCTTTCATTTCATCCCATTTATTTCATTTGTAGTTCTTTTTATACATGATTATCTTAATTCTTTGTATATTCCTGGTGGGTTACTGATGACTTCTCTCTGTTTAAATTCAGAGGAAAATATGTTGATAAATAGAGGAATCCAGTAGAAATAAAGAATATATATTCTGCAAGTGAAACTGATTGAAAAATATGACTTATAGGGGCTGGAGAGATGTTCCACAGTTAAGAACACTGACTGTTCTTGCAGTAGACCTGGGTTCGAATCCCAGCACCCACATGACAGCTAACAACTGTCTGTAACTTCAGTTCCAGGGGCGTCCAACAGCCTCTTCTGCTCTCCGCAGACATTGCATGACACAGGTGCACTTACTACATGTAGACATAACACTCATACACATAAAATAAAAATAATAAATAAAATGTAAAAAAGAAAAATATGACTTATAGTCTTTAAAAACTTCTTTCCAAATAAAAATGACAATCACAAGTCCAAATAAACATATTCCTTTATGGTATGCACCAAAGATGTGGATTGTTCTAAACAAGCAGTGAAGGGTACTCAGTATCTTTTCCTGTTCACAAATCATACAAATTAGCAGATGCAACTGAAGAGGGGAGGTCTGTTTCAGAGTGATTTCATGCAGTGCTACTGAGGTTTTCTTCTCTAAATGGAAGTGTGAGGGATCCAATGTCACTCCTCTAACAGTCACTTCTTCCCTTTCCTCCTCTTCTGATGTCTCCCCATTTAGAGTTTTCCCCCAGCGGGATCAAATCCTGTTCTCAAATATATTAAGAACCTGTTCAAATATATTAACAATCCTGTTCTTCCATATATTAAGTAATGGAAGAAATATAAATTTAAATCACACGAAATTATGCAGGTATTAAATTACCAAATATTGGGTTTTCCTTGTTTGATGTTTATTGTGCTGAGCATTGAATCTAGGACTTAGTACATGTTATTTACTTCTTATTTACTGTGTGTCTGTGTGTGTGTGTCTGTGTGTGTGCGTCTGTGTCTGCGTGTGTGTATGTGTGTGTGTCTGTGTGTGTGTCTCTGTGTGTGTCTCTGTGTGTGTCTGTGTATATGTGTGTGTGTGTCTGTGTCTGTGTGTGTCTGTGTGTGTGTGCGTCTGTGTCTGTGTGTGTGTGTGTGTGTGTGTGTGTGTCTGTGTGTGTCTGTGTGTGTGTGTGTGTGCGTGTGTGTCTGTGTGTGTGTGTCTCTGTGTGTGTGTGTGTGTGTGTGTGTGTGTGTCTGTGTGTGTGTCTTTGTATATGTCTGTGTGTGTGTGTGTGTGTCTCTGTGTGTGTCTGTGTATATGTGTGTGTGTGTGCATCTGTGTCTGTGTGTGTGTCTGTGTATATGTGTGTCTGTGTCTGTGTCTGTGTCTCTGTGTGTGTGTCTGTGTGTGTGTGTCTGTGTATATGTGTGTGTGTCTGTGTGTGTGTGTCTGTGTGTGTGTCTGTGTATGTCTGTGTATATGTGTGTGTCTGTGTGTGTTTGTGTATATGTGTGTGTGTCTGTGTGTGTGTCTGTGTGTGTGTGTGTATGTGTCTGTGTCTGTGTCTGTGTTGGGTGTGGGGCTTGCATGTATCACTCTGACCATGTGAAGGTGAAATAACTTGCATAGTCAGTTCTCTCATTCCCCCATGTGGGTCCTGGGGATTGAACTCAGATAATAAGACTTTGAGACGAGTACTTTTACCTACATAGCCACCTTTCCATCCCATTTTCTTAGTGTTTCAAGCATAGAACAGAAAATTTTTCTCATTATGTAAGTACAGTGAGATGGATTTTGTTAACACTGGAGAGAAAATCTAAAACTCTGTTCTAGGTGATGCATTTCAAGATGCTTTCCTCATTATATGCATTAAATTTTTTGCATCCTTAATTGTTTCACAGCTCCGACCTTTGTTCTGGGCAAAGTCTTGTCTTTGCAACAGAAGCATGAGAGGCAACCAGACATGGATCACGGAGGTCAGCCTGCTGGGATTCCAAGTTGACCCAGCCCTGGAGTGCTTCCTCTTTGGGCTTTTCTCTCTCTTTTATTTATTCACTTTACTGGGAAATGGGGTCATTCTTGGAATAATATGTCTGGACCCCAGACTGCATACACCCATGTACTTCTTCCTCTCACACCTGGCTACTGTTGATATGGCCTATGCATCCAACAATGTCCCCAAGATGCTGGAAAATCTTGTGAATCAAAGAAGAATCATTTACTTCATTCCATGCTTAATGCAGACATTCTTGTATTTGGCTTTTGCTCACATCGAGTGCCTGATTTTAGTGGTGATGTCCTATGATAGGTATGTGGCCATCTGCCACCCCCTGTACTACACCATCATCGTGAACTGGAGACTGTGTACCATCCTGGCTGCCACTTCCTGGATATTCAGTTTTCTCTTGGCTCTGGTACATTTAGTTCTCATCCTGAGGCTGCCCTTCTGTGGGCCTCATGAAATCAACCACTTCTTCTGTGAAATCCTGTCTGTCCTCAAGCTGGCCTGTGCTGACACAACACTCAACAAAACTGTCATCTTTGCAGCCTGTGTGTTCATCTTAGTAGGGCCCCTCTGCTTGGTGCTCATCTCCTACACCCGCATCCTGGTGACCATCCTGAGGATCCAGTCCCGTGTGGGCCGCAGGAAGGCCTTCTCCACCTGCTCCTCCCACCTCTGTGTGGTCGGGCTCTTCTTTGGCAGTGCCATCATCATGTACATGGCCCCCAAGTCCCGCCATCCTGAGGAGCAGCAGAAGATCCTTTCACTGTTTTACAGCCTTTTCAATCCCATGTTGAACCCCCTGATCTACAGCCTGAGGAACACTGAGGTCAAGGGTGCCCTAAGAAGGGTACTGTGGAAAGAGAGATCAGTGTGAGAAACCTCAAGAAACAAGAATAGGGAATCTTGCTGTCAATGACATAGAGCAGTGGGCATAGTAAACTCTATCTTAAAATGGAATAATGTAGATTTATACATACAGATTGAAGATATAATACCTTTGAGGAAAAAATTATATGACTGCCCAGAATCACAAGTCCCTGGTTTCTGAAGTGTAGTGTAATATACCGCTACCTCTTACAGTTTGGAGTCATAGATCATTGGATTTGTCAGTCCAAGCCTGAGATTCCTGGTATTGGAAGTGTTTCTCCCTAACCACCCCCATGGTTCCTACATGAGTGGAGTCAGCTGAATAATAGAAAAAGCATATTTAAGACCAAATAGAACTACAAATAATACATAAAATGAACTCCTTAAAATGAAGAGAAGAATATAAATGAGCAGTCAGGCGTGGTGCCGCACGCCTCTGATTCCAGCACTCAGGAGGCAGAGGCAGGTGGAGCTCTGTGAGTTTGAGGCCAGACTGATCTGCATGAGTTCCGGGTCAGTCAGTGCTTCCTAGGGAGACATTGTCTCAAACAAACAAATAAAACATAGATATGTGCATACACACGTATATTTTATACATATGCAATTTTTTATAAAATTGGCAAAGCAGCTGACGAGCCATTTCTACCAAAAAATAAACATAGTGTATAAGTAGTTAATAAACATGCAAAATTCTGCTTCCTACCATTAATCAATAAGAAATTGTAAAGTAAAGCTAGCATTGGATATTATTTTATATGTATCAAAGTGTTTAAATTTTAAAAGAATAATCAGTGGAATTAATGGGAATTAAATTCCAATTATTGGCAAGTAGTCAACACTAGCAATGTTTAAATGCAAATTAGTCAAGTCATATTGAGTTAATAAATGCATGGTATACATTCTCTGGGTCAACTGTTAGTCACATTTTCATTGAAAGAAAAGAGGTAAGTGCTTTGACTTTGAGGGCTATCATTTCTGTCATTGTAACCAAATTCTGATGAAAGTAGCCATCAGTATTGTATGAATGAAGAGATGTGGTTGTTTTCCAAAAAAAATATTTACAAAACCAGATCCGTTGCCAAATAGTGCTCAGGTACTATTTACAGACCCTTGCTATAAATCTAAAACTAGTCAAGATCTACCAGATTCAAAGTCTGATTTCCTCACTGTGGGTTAGGGGTGGAAACTGTTATTGGACACAATTTAAAGATAAGACCATATGGAACCATTCCTGACTGAGGCCAACTTCTAAAACATTATCACTTAATAGCCAATGGACTGTAAATGCCCATGGTTTCTCTGGTACCCTGTAATTCAGAGCAAGGTCCCCATACTGTCCATTACAAATTTGAACCTGGGACCATGAATAAAAGTTGGAAACTCAAATCAGTTATTTTCTTGTCATGAGGACCACAATTCCTGACTGAAACAAAATGAGGAAAGAAAGGTTTTTTGTTTTTAATCCTTTAATATATTTATTTATTCATTTGTGTGTATGCATGTGGATGTGTGCATGTGGAGGTCAGAGAAGACCTTGCAGGAGTTGATTCTCCTACCATGTGGGTTCCAGAGATCCACCTCAGGTCATTGGGCTTGGTAGCAAGTGCCTTTTCCTAATAAGCCTTCTTAGCCTTATTGCTAGCCTAAAAAAGATTTATTTTGACTTGTAGTTTCAGAGAAGCCCAGTCCATGATGGCAGGGAAAGTATGGTGGATGTAGTTCAATCCATGGTAATGCAGGGTGTAGCAAAACTCACATACTGGTAGATGGGGAAGCAAAAAAATGCCAAGAACTAGGAGCCAGGCTATCATCATCCAAGGCCAGCTCCTAGTGACCTATTTCCAGCAAACAAGCCCCTCCTCTTCCTAAAGGTTCCAGGACCCCTCAAAACAGCACTACCATCTGGGAATAAGTGCTCAAAACATGAGCCAGTGGGGAACATTTCATTCAAACTATAATAGAACTAAAGAATCCGAGCTTAGTCCAGCAAAAAGCAGAGTATTCCTAATCAGACTAATTGTTTGCATATAGAATTACCAGGTATGTGGATAATTTTCCTTGTCAACTTGAGACACCTGGGTAGAGGGATCCTCAACTGAGGAATTTCCTCCATTGGACTGGCCTGTGGCCCTACCTGTGCGGCATTTGTATTTTATTGTTGAGTGATATGGGAGTCTACTACCCAGTCTACTGTGGGTGATGCCACCCCTGAGCAGGAGGTCCTGTGTTATATAAGAGAGCAGTCTGGGCATGAACCAGGAGCAAGCCAGTAAGCAGTAGGCCTCGTGGCCTGTGCCTCAGCTCCTGCCTCATGCCCTGAGTTCCTTCCCTGACTTCCCTCAGTGATGAACTGTGACCTGGGAGATGTAAGATAGAATAAACCCTTTCCTCTCGAAGTTGGTTTTGGTCAGTGTTATCACAGCAATAGAAATTGCCAGATCAGAGGATTTAGATTTTTACCTGCTTTGAAGTTTTAAAAACCATTTTCTCAGAAGCATTTTATATCTTTAGGTTATGATAGCCTTAGTTTAAATTATATATTCTGAACTGCTCTCATTTTTGCCTTGATTACCAGGATATGTACTGCTTGGCTTTTATCAGTAAACTAATAATAATTTGTGTGGAAAAGAACATGAGAGAGAGAGTGAACATTGTCAGTAAGGAAACCTCAGGAGATTCGGACATTTGGCACTTATAATAAGTCTTTCAGTGTTAATAAGGAGTTCCTATAAACTGTTATGTACATAGAACTCCAAACCTGAGAATTAGTCTGACATTCAAAGATACCTTTCTTTCAACAGAACATTTTAAGTCTATCTGACTTTGTCTTTACTCCTGAAACATAAGGAACTGTATGAGAGTTGGGTCAGTTACTATTCTATTGCTCTAATAAAATACCCTAGCGAATGTGACTTAAGGGAGAAAGGGTTTATTTTGGCTTACAGTTCCACAGACATGGCAGCAGACAGGGAGGGAAGGCACGTGGCAGGAACAAGAGGCTGGCTCAGTCATATTGCATCCACGCTCAGGACCCAGAGAGTGGATAGGAAGTGAGGGGCCAGGCAAGAAGCCCTCAAGGCCACCCCCAATGACCCACTTCCTCTGGCAAGGCTCCACTGCCTGAGGGTCCACAATGCTCACTAAGAGTTATGGACCAAGTGTTCAAACACATGAGCCTACAGCAGACCTTCCACATTCAGACTGCAACAGTGTATTTTGCTTTCCTTCTTGGGACTCCTTTGCCAATTTTCAAGTTAATATGCCAAGGTCTAGACTTTATATTAATGCACACAAAGTTCCTATCAGCATTTACCATCCCTGGTACCGAAGCAGTCTATGATAAATTGCATTGCAATTTTAATATGAAATATATTTAATATTTAATATGAAATACAGTTTTGCCAAAGAAGGGGAAGTCATTTCTAGCTATGACCTGTGAGGCTTAAAACATGCATTAAAAGAGACATGTAAGGACTGAGGAGTCAGCTCAGTGCAAAGCTTTCCACATGGGGTTCCCCCCTTTTAACACAAAGCAGTCAATATGCATATTTTAAACTCATTCAATACCCCCAGCTAGTGAGCCCTGACTCAGAAATATATCATGGTAGGTAAACTCACACCAAGGGACATCTTGCAACACAGACTTGACTTGTATACCCTTAGCATATATGACAGATAGGCCTTAACATATATGACAATGCTCGAAATCCTGTGGGCAGGCTAGAAGGGGCTGTAGATAGGGGAGGTATCTAAATATGATCAAGATGTGTTCTGTGAAATGCACAAAAATTAAATAAAAATATATAGTGAAAAAAATGCTGAAATATGCATGAAATAATTGTTCCATGCTTTCACAAACTAATCTACAAAACAGTCATTTTTAATATGATTAACAGGGGCTGGAGAGATGGCTCAGTGGTTAAGAGCACTGGCTGCTCCTACAGAGGACCTGGATTGGTTCTCAGCACCCACATGGTTGCTAACAACCATTTGAAACTGCAGTTTCAGGGGATCACACGCTCTCTTCTGACCTCCAAGGGCATTGCATGACAGGGATGCACTTACACACATGTAGGTCATACACTCATACACATTAAATAAAAATAATAAATAAAATATTTTTTAAACAAACTGAACATGCTTAACAACTGAACAAAGTCGTGAGCAGAGTGAAGGGCTGCACTCATCCAAACAAGCCACATTTCTTCAAACCAAGGAATTAACTTTACAGTTCATAGCTCAGTAATGCACAGTGACATCACATCAAATTTCAATGCCTTATCGTATGCCACGCTCAGAATAACGGTTTCAGACTAAGACGTCTATTGTCCAATATGGGTTGCATGAAAAGTGGCTTATTCACTTTCATGGCTGCCTGATCATACTCAACACGAAAGGACGGTGAGAGGATCTCCACTCCGGTTCCTCAATTTTTTTCAGAGAAAATTGGAGAATAGGTTTGGGAGTATCCTAATCTTCAGGCATGACAGAGACACAGAAATTCCAGGGCCACGGGAAGAGAAATGAGCCCCTCACCCTGGGATCTGGTTTGTAAGAATCTTGGCAAAATTATAAAAGCAATCTGAGACAAACCAACACTGTGAAGACTGCTGACAGAGACAATGCACCCTTTCCTAGGGATCTCAAACGAGAATGTTAACACAGCAAGTAGACTGGGCTTTAAGCCAAAATGCATGTGACCTTTGAATTTAACATTACCGGAACTTCTCCTTCATTCATAAACCTAAACAATGCACCCCACAAACCATCTTACAATTTCATTTATAAAGCGAATTTCTTTAAAATAGGAGAAATAAGCCAGCTGATATTTTTATTATTAAATTTTACTTAATTTTAAAACTTTGCCTTATCTTTGAACCTGCTTGTAAATTAAAACCATTGAGCAGTATAGCTTCAAAAGCCACAAAATTAAAAAATATGAAACTATAAAATTATAAATATACATAGTTATTATATACATAATAGATTATATGTAAACTGTTATCCCTTAATGCT